TAATTTGTTTGTTCAGCTATAAGCCTCCCCATGAAATATGGGTATTTCAAGATTTCCCCTCTTTCCCAAAGATTTTGGATGTGTTCAGTATTGTTTTCTATTATATTTTTGTATCTATTAGCCAACATATGACTGTTAGTTTTTGAATTGCAATACATTCATAACTAAGTTTTGTTTAAATGTATTCTGGAAATTCTCAGTCTTTTTGTACTTTTCAAATTGGCATGGGTTTCGATCTCTAGCAATACAATGAACTATAGATGTGCTTGCCACGGAAATATTGTTCAGGATGCAATTTTTTTTTTAGTATTTTCTTTTTTCTTTTTCTCCTCATACAAAGAATTTATAATAACTTCATAATATTTGCTATTCTGGTTCTTACAATCATGCAGACCAGTTAACTTATAATCTCCTATTAGAAGCTGCTCATCATCGTATGGGAAAAGTAGGTGTTACTTTTTTTTTTTCTTGTATAATTCCTTGTTTCCACTGTAATGATTGAATTGTTTTTTAAACATATATTATTTCTGAACATAAAAACATGAATATCGTCATTATTATGAATTTTCATATTTAAGACCCTTACACAATTCAAGAGAACTCAATTAGTAATTATCAACGAGTCAATAGAAACACTAAAAAAAAATTTAACAATGAGTTGAAGTTTCAATATTACAATTAAATTTGCATATCTTCACTGAGATTTTTTCTATTTATTCTAACTCTTCCAAATCTCCTTGTATTTATAGTTTTTAAATTTTGTTTGATATTTCTGGGAGCTATTTAATTTATACAAAGATAAATGTTTAAAGCATATTTTCATCCAAATGTGCTACATGTAGTATCTCAATGTTGACTTTTACGTAAATACAGAAGATTTATGGTAATTTGTGAATAACTAATTGTATTCTTGTTGCAAGCTTTATACCATTTTTTTTTAAATTTGTATTTACTTTAAATTACTTCTATCATATTTTACCATTTTACCTTTGTTTTTTTTTATCTTTTTTCATTTTTTGTGACTGAAAAGTAACATGTAAGCTTTAATTTTATATATATCTCATTTTTGTTCTCATAAATATTATGCGAAGGATGATCAAATCAACTAGATGTTATGTTAAGTATTTTTTTGCTTGATTTATTCCATTTTTTTTGCTCGAGAATTTATTTTTCTTGTCCAAATTCATGATTTTTTGTTATTGACGATGGTGTGTGTATCATATGATAATCAATATTCTGTCATGCTCTTTGTGAGTAATCTTTTGTATTTGTGTGCAAACTTTAGTAAATTTTCTACTCATAACTTATTAGAAAAAAAATATACAAACATATTATAACCTTATTTTATATTTGTTTGTGTTGTTTCACCATGTCTGGGTCAAAAACATAATTAAATTTAAATAAAATTAATTCTTTTCATAATAATAGTATATTGAAACTAACTTCTAATAAATTAAAATGAGTTTTTATTAAAAATATTTTCATGTTTTTAATAATTTTGAGTAAAATTACTTCTAACAAAAAATTAACTTTTAATAGAAAAATATTATAGATACACAATAGTTAAATAAATATTTTAAAGTTCAAATGCTACTAAACCTCTTTAATAAAATGTTGATATTTTTTTTTTCTTTTTTGTGTGTGAAAAAAGAATTATAATCGTAATAACAAATAATGATTATTTAGTATAGATTTTATTTTTTTTAATTTATGTTTTTGATCATTAAATAATTAGAATATAAATGTAAGTTATTTTTGTATTTAAAGTAAATAATCAATAAGAATAATAAAAAAAGTGTTAATAAAAATAAATTAATTATTACTCATAACTTTGTATTTTCTTTTAATTTCAACATAAAAAGTGATTCTTTATACAATAGAAATATAATATATTACTTTAAAATCATTTTTGACTTAGAATGAATTTGAATTAGATGGAAAGGAAATCTATTTTAATAATTAAATATATAAAATAAGTTATGTTTGGATATGATCAGTTATTGATAGCATAAATAAAGTTTGAACATGTTATGTGAAAAATAATTCTAAAATGATTTATTCTATTTAAGTTATATAAAATAATTATTTTTTAAGGATAAAATTACAGAAAATAATATGTAATTATGGACAATAGTTAGATTTGCATTTAAAATAATTAATTATGAAGGGTAAAATGAAAATAAATTTATTAAGAAAATAAGTAGATAGCTTTTAATCGCAAGTTCTATTTCTTTGTAAACTAATTTACTTGTTGTCTTTGCAAAAAAATAAAAATAAAAAAAATACTCAAAGATTATAACTTAGTTTTTTTAAAAATTTACCAAACAAAAATGAAAAAAATTGATTGTTTTTAATTATAAATTTAACTCTCCTTTTTTTTTTTATCTTAATACACACTATAATTTAATTGTAGATTAAATATAATTTTAATCCTTATAAAATTATCAAATTTTGGTTTTGGTTTTTCATTAAATTTTATTATTTTTAATCTTTATATTTAATAAAAGTAATATATTTTTTTGGTTTGTTAGGGACTATAAAACATATTATTTTTTATTTTATAAGGTCTAAAAATAAATAAATAATTAAAATAAAAATTTAATAATTTAATATAGGCTAAAAGCATATCTAACCCATTAATAATTAATAAATATGTTAACTTTCATAATCTCATATATAGCACTTCATTAAAAAATTAGAGCATGTTTACTTTTATTTTTAAAAAGAATTTTCTTTTTTAAATAAAAAATAATTATTCTTCTTAAATAAAAATATAGAATTTGAGATTTAATTTTATCTCTCCAATCCTCTTAATTTAATATATCTTTAATTTGTATTAATTAATCTATTAATAAAATATAAGTAATTCATACTCGTTGAGTTATGATTGATCTACACCAACTAATTATAGATATACAATCCATTATACTAATTTTGGAACAACTTATTAGAAATATAAGATAGTCAATTTGAAATGTCATGAAATTTTTTGCTTGAGGGATGTCTTCATACCTCATGACCAATTTTAAGACAGTCTTCTAGTAAGGATAAAAATAGATTAGGTTAGGCACAAGTAGATTTAACTTATTTGATAAATTTGAAACCTAAATCTAACTTATTATTTATTATAGAAACTTTATTAAGTATAATCTAACTTTTTTAAAAGCTTAATTTATGTTATTAATCTTTTTAATAACTTACTTTATATTAAGATTATTAAAAGGCTATTAAAATTACTTATATATAGGTTATCAAATCATCTAATTAGGTATGTGTTTTAAAGGTCAAAAGGCTTATACCTAAATAAGGTATAAAAAAAAATTAGTTCAGCGCTTTGAATATTTATAATAAAATTATATATTTCATTTAAATAAGTAAATTATTAAATATAAAACAAACACAAATATATATCAACTTTGTCCATGTAAGACAAATCTAAGTAACAACAACTTAAAAGATAAAACAAGTGAACATACTCTCTCTCTTTCTAAAAGGATACGTAGTAAGGTCACTCTTCCATTTCAATGAAAATGATTAAGATTTTTAATTTAAGATTTTATTATTTTAAAAATTTATTTAATATATTATAATATTATAACGTATATAGATTTATTTAAATTTTTGTATAATTATAAACTTTATAAGTCTTGAATGTGTCATTCTATCAGATTTAATGATTTTTTTAATCTTAATCTTGACCTATTCAATTAATTAATCATTTTAAGAAGTTTAAATTAAGCATATTATTCAAATAAGTCAAGCCAAATTAAGTTTTAAAAAAGTAAAGTTATAAGTTTATGTCAAACAATCTAACATATATCTTATCTTTACCTCCAATACAATCTAATATATATCCATTTCTATCTCTAAGTTTGTACTTATTATAACAAACCACATGCAACTTAATCAAAGAATAACATGGTTATTTGGAATTATTTTAACATAAACGTGAACAAATTTAATTAATATACTGCTTATTATTAGAGGAGGTGATATGACTTAGAATTTTTTTTCTTTTCACTTTTTTTACAGTTTCTTGTAAAAGTAATAGATTTTATTTAAATTTTGTTTTGATATTTAATTTTAAGTGACAAATTTTATTTAAACTTTATTTGAGAATTAGTTTTTTTTAAGAGGAAGAGAAGAATAAGACTTAATGACAACTTTTGTTTAATAGTTTTTAGATGAAGATGAGCTTTTAATCCTTCAAAATTTCATGTTTTTAAGTTTTTTTTAAAAAAAATTATTAAGTCTAGTTTTCCCTTCCTATTCCTTTTTTTTTATTATTATTATTATTATTATTATTATTATTATTATTTAATCCTTTTATTTCATCCCTTCAACCTCACAAAAACCTTAGTTATTCATATCCCGGATAGTAAGGTAAAGCTATAACATTGGAGAGATAACTACCTCACATCTATAAAATTAAGACGCAAAGAGTTTAAATTCGCTTGTTTGACTATTGTATGTTTGAAATATCAATTCTTCGCAATTCACAACACAAGATACTTGATAAAATCACGTACTTCCTATTAATTAATGCATTTATTTTAAAAAATATTTAACAATTTAAAAGCAATTTCATCAAATTAAATTTTACTCAATTTGAACTAAATAGGCACTAATTAAAATATTATATTCAAATTTTGTTATAGACAAAATAAAAAATCCAAATTTTGTAAACAGAGGAAAACATGACGAATGTAAACTTTAATCGCGTTTACCACGTTAGTTAGAATCTAATATTACTTCTAAACTTTGAGTTCCATTCAAAAACAGAAAATATTTGAGAAAATGAATATTCTCCAACTCCAATGTTTTCAAAACCAAACAATACGCACTGACGGCAACCATCCATTTTGTACAATGCTTAGATTAGTTATCTAAACTCATGCACCACAATAAAACCCAGCTTTAGTTTTTAGGAGAGCAATCTGAAGATGAAAGTATCAGCTAGCAATGCATGACTGTGTCTATAAATTCTAAGACCATATTTCTCAGAATAAGGTAGATAATACCAATTCTTGAACAAAACATGCCCTCATCTTTCTCTCTTCGTTATCCTGCGCATCACCTACCATATCCGGTGCTGCATCTGTTCCAGTGCTGCAAACAAAACACCACCAACTTTGCATAAAGCTCATTTCTATTCCTATTTTGAAAACAGTATATATTGCCACTAGGTTTATTCAGCATCAAATGCAGGATCTGCACCATATGCTTATAATTTATAAAAAGTCCTCGTGATTCAATGCAACAAATATTTGATTCATAAGTTTTGGAATGCTATTCGTTACAAATATTTAAGAAACCAAAGTTCAACAAGACCAGTGCAGTAGATGAGGGTGTCACATCACAGTCACAGTTAGGGGATGCTGGCTTTCATATTCAGAAAGACAGGAAGAATTGCTAAATTACTGAGTAAACTTTGTTACGTTGTCCTATAAATAGCCATTATAATATAGTTAACATCTAGGTCTATGCAAAGTTAGAATTAGAGCAAGAGCTGCAGAAAAACAATCTCTATGTGGGAGTCAGTACATGTGCACAACCCCCCCCCCCCCCAAGTAACCTTCAAATGGAAAGAATAAAGTAAAAATCCCAAAGCAGATATAGTTTGTTTTGTTTCATATATGTAATGTCACATCATCAATAGAATGTAGACTATTGATAACCTACTTATGAATAAACTCCAAGTGATATACATTGTAGATCCACAATGCATAGATGATTTAGAAATGTAGTATAAAATACAACAATTTGGAAACTAAGATATCATGATCAGCTATACAATTCCCTGTATCATTAGAAGCACTTTATTTTTGGATGTAGAGGACAATGAATGAGTTACAATAATATTAAAGTCAGACAGACTACTTCAATTATTAGTTTTGTTGATACTGGCGAAATTACTTATATTTCTACATTTATAACATTTCCAAGAACAGGATATTAACAAAGACTACAAAGGAAAGAACGGTTAATTTTTAACTACATTATTTTAATGCTTTGAACTTCAACCAATAAGTTTCTCATGTTTGCTCCTTTTTGTCATACAAACATACAACCATTACAAAATATAGATGGAAAGAAGGATCAAACCTTTTTGCATTGGAAATGTCTGAGGTATTGTAGGAGGAACCTTCACCAGGATGGAAACTGCTGGAGTTTGGAACAGATGCATCGCAGACATTCGGTGGCAAAATTGGATCAGGCATTGGTTCATGTTTGCTTCCCCTAGCATGAAGTTTCTTGTCCAGCACTACCGAATTATCAGACGAGACGCTAGATTTGTCACTCTTCCAAGTTTGCTATAGAAAGTATAGATCATTACATTAACATATTGAATTTAGGCAAGAATCAAGTTCTCCTAAAACCAAAAGCAAGCTAGTCTACATTTAGAACACAAAATTTCAATATAAGCAGCATATACCTTCCATGAGCTTGAATGCTGTGCAACCCTGATTGCATCCTCACCTAATTCTTCATCACACATAGGACAAAGCTGATATAGGAACATTGAACTATCAATCAGATTTCAAACTTCAATTATAACTTGATTACCTGAGTGAAATGTTCAGATAGACATGCATTCTTATTCTTCCTTAGTGTTTAACAAAAATGGTTGCTGGTTCACTTTATCATTATCCTTATCCCTTTTAATCAGATCAGAACAGCGCACTATTAAGCAGATATAAAATTTCAGTTTAGTTTGAAATAAAACTACATTTAACCAAGGAACTAACATTTATAAGTTACAACAAAGTCACTGGTTAATTTACTGATTCATCAAGTAAATTTGGAAAACAAAACTTAGTCTAACAAAGGTGTAAAGCATGAGCATGATATATGGTGTTAGCAATAATTTCTGCTGTATATAAAATTTTAAAATTCAGAACTGTCATACCATATTTTGTGGGTCATAGTAATGCATCTCTTCCAATGAAAAATCAATCTCAAAATCACAGAAAGGACATTGAATAAGAGATTGAGCATTATCCTCCTCATCTGTGTAATTAATCACTGAATAACTTTCTGCATGGTTTAAAAGGGATCCATGTCAGCACAAATGCACTGCACAAAAAACTCCATTTTAAATGCCATAAAAGGTACATCTCTAAAGAAAAGAGCAATAGGAAAAATTAATGAACTGTAGTTATGCACTGCACAAATGCACAAGCTCACAAAATACTAGCAAGAAGGAAAAAGAACGGTGCTAAGATTCCCTTATGCTCTTTATGGTATGTTTGGGTGTTAGGAGGGGAAAATAGAGGTAAGACAATAGGAGTTCAAGCAATAAACTTAATTTCCCTTATATTTGGATGTTTAAAATCATCCCAAAATTCTCTATATCAGGGGAACTTTTTATTTGTAAAAGAAATGGAGGATTTGGAGGGTTGCACAATAATCCCCCTCATTTTGAAAAACACGATGACAAGGAGAAGGTTTAATTGTTCACCACCCTTAAACAAGAAATTTCCAGGCCACATGCAAAATTCAGGACGGCCCAAGGATCAAATCTATCCAAAAAAATACCAAATATCAAAACATTCATGCACAAGAAAATTGATAGATCAGAACCTTTTAATCAGGATTAATGTCTAAGGCACCAACATTTTTTTTTTTATCTTTGCTATGTCCCAATTGTTAAGCAAAAAAAAAACCACATAAACACAATTTAAAATTAAAATTTTTTCAATTTCACCTCCATCATAATCAGGATAATCGGATTGTGTTTTTTCATCAACTTCCTCCTCAACATCATATCTTTCAGCCCCCCAATTTCCATTGATTCTCTGCCCCAGTATATAAGATTGAATCCCTTGATTAATGTAGGACAACTCCAACTTGAGCCTATCCAGGTGCACCCCAAAGGAACCAACTTCAGGGTGATCGTTTGCCGAATCTCCCTCCTTCGTCATCACTATCCAATTCTCCTCTACGAGATTAAAGTATCATAAAAACTGAACTTTTTCTCTTCATCTATTGCTTTGAAGGCTTTGGAAGTACTAGTTTGTATGGTAAGAGAAGCATATATAGAAGCTTAGATAAGCCCGCTAAGTGGCCCTTTTTCTATTATATTAATTAATTCTTGAACTTCCCATAAACAGAATCTCGAATTAATTTTCTAATTAAATAAAGAAAAGAAATTTGGATCACCATTAAAGCCAGAGTATATCTTCGCTGTCTCTTGCATCTGCCATGAAATGCACACTCTCCAAAGGAAACGGTTACATGCAAATGAGGTCCACTTGTAACACAGTTATTGGCAAACAAACCTTAGAAACAATGACAAATTTTCAAATTTAACCGCTTCTGAAAAATCATTAGAGCAACATAGCAAAGCCCAGAACGCGTAGTTCCAAGTGGGAGGTACTCACTGGTAACAATGAAAGCAAAATAAAACAAAAAACGGAACTCTGACACTAAACTGAGCTAACACAAGTTAATCATAGCAAAAGGGTATATAGGCTTTTTATTCAATTCCTCAAAAGAGTCCAATGCAACTCAAATGGGTTCTCTTTTCTCCCTCACTTGTACCCACCAAGGAAATGGGAAAGTCATATAAAAAGGAAAAATAAGAAGAAAAACCAGGGATACCCAATAGAGCAAGAAAAAACGAAATGCACAAGTGAAGTGAAAATGGGAAGGAAGGGAGTACCAGAGTGAAAGCGAGAAGGTCGGAGAGAAGAGAAGTGATTGGTAGAATGAATAGTGGAAGCTCTGAAGTCCAAGTCCATGATGATATTAAGTTCTTTCTACTTTGTAGAAGAAAACGGTTTGGTTGTGAATTGTGAATTGAAGAGAGGGAAAAGGGTGTGAATGAATGCTTGTGAAGTAAAGGCAAACAACAACACAGCACAAGACTTTGTTTGCCGTCAATATGATTCATCATCGCTCATAAGGTCTGTTACTGTGCTCGTGTGTGTTTTGCTTGCTCACTTCATTTCCTTAGCTTCTCACACTCTCACCTCTTTTCTGACACACAAAGATTCACTGTGGATGACTGACAAGCAGCTTTTTTTAAATCATTTTTTAATCCCTTCTTCTCTCCCAGGATATGTTGCCAAATTAACCACTTCTTTGTTTTATTTTAGAATTGTTAATTTATTTCTCATTACATATGTAAATTGGGGTAGCTTAAAATTTTTTTACAGGTAAAGTATCTAAAAATTTATACCAATAAAAAGAAAATACATAACAAGTTAAAAAATTATTATTATATATGATTTATTTAAAATTATATTATTTATTATATAATTTTATTATTATTATTATATATATTCTATATTAAATTTTTTATTTTATTTTTTATTATTTTTGATAAATTTTCAATTTTAAATAAAATATAATTTATATTTAAGTAATTTTTATTTATTATAACATAATATAATAATTAAATAATTAAATATTAATAATAATATAATTAAGAATATAAAAATATATTAATATAATATTATTATTTTATTTTTAAATTTTAATTTGTTTATTTTTTATTGTATTATAACCACTCTTCAACTTGTTCAAATATAATAAATATAATAATTTATTATTAAATAAATTTATTATTTGAGCACATACCTAAATATTATTGGTTAGAGCTTTTTATATAGAGTACTCTGGAAATTTTTTAAGGTACTACATAATTTACAATATAAATTTTATGATTATGAATAATTTGAACATATAATATTAAATTATTAATTATATTCAATATTTTAAATTTAATTTTTTAAAACAAAGACCTAATAAATTTTCTAACTCTTATATAAAATTTAAATTGTTAATAGGATATTTCTAGAAAAAAAATGTATATAAGGGGGCGACTTTTAAGACTTTATAGAATTTTCATGACTTTTAAGATTTTGCAGGATTTTGCAAGACTTTAAAATCAAGATTTTAATGGATTCTGCAAGACTTATAAGTTAAGATTTTAATAGATTTTGCAGACTTTGTGAACTTTGCAGAATTTCATAAATTTTTGACATAGTTCAAGATTTTTTTATACATTCAAATTTAAAAAGAGTCAAAGACAAAAATAATAAAAAAGAACAATGTTTGGATAAATAATAATAATAATTATCCGTAATATATGTCCTCCTAAATAACATTCACCCACATATCTATAGTTATACTAGTCCTCCAAGTATTAGCATCTTTTGGGTGTGAATAATAGGATTAAAATTATGATCTTTATTAACCGATAATGTTAAAGATAAAGGTTCATCCATCGGTTCAATTAAAAATTAATTAGAATGACATTCTTTGTAAAGAAAGTTATGTAGCGCTGAACATGCTAACACAAGTTTCTACTTATATCTTAAATAAAAATGGAGGTGCTGACTTAAAAATTGTGAACCTTGATTTAAAATACCAAACATTTTCTCGATTACATTCTTTAAAGACACATGATAAATATTGAACAATTCTTTCTCATTTTCAGGGTTATTACCCTGACCTGCAAAACTTGTAAAAAATATCTTATACCTCAAAATGAAGCTAAAAATTGGCATCGGTTAGGAAATCTACAATCCACCAAGAAACATTTACCGAATAATATATGCAATGTATATAATATTAGTATAATAATAATAATAATATAATTATTATTATTTAAAATAAGCACTTACCTTTACTCACTTTAAGTCCATTCCTTCTTATTATAGCATCATTTAGTAACTTATAATCATAAGTTGAACCCTCCTACCCACTAAAAATGTACATGAATTCTAAATTAAAATTAAAAATGGCTAATATATTTTGTGATATCAATTTTACCTTTTACCTTTCACCTTTCCCTTTTCTTGACGTATGTTATAAAAAAATTACTACTTAAAAGTTAAAATTTCAAGCATGTTCTGTGTTATATATTTGAAAAATAAACTCAACTAAATAAAGCAAAATAGAGTAAGTCAATAACACTCTCATTTACGTTTTCACCAAATAAAAGAATTGAATAGGAACAGTAGTACAATATTATATATGAACAATAGTGTATTATTATTAGCAGAGAAAACAATGGAGAAGACATAAGCATAGAAAAAAAAAGATAAAAAACTTACCTAAAATTTTTTGAAGCACTTGAATAGTCACTTCAAACAATCTTTTAAAATCTAATAGGTTTGGATGAAATTGTTTTATGAATTTAGTATTTATAGATATCACTAATTAAAAGTCCTTCAAAATCCCTTTAATACAACAATACTTTAAAATCTTAATATTTTTTAATATCAATGAATTGTTTTTCAGTTGTAAAAAGTCTTAAATGAATATCAATATATTTTAATAGACTCTAAAAAATCTTAAAAATCCAGATTGAATACTAGTAGATTGTTTTTAAGTGACATAAAATTTTAATTAAATACTAATAGACTTTTTTACTTTAAAAAAGTCTTTTAAAATTCTATGAAATTCTAAACCAATACATTTTTCTAAATCTGAATAAAAAAATAATTTTTACAATTATTACATGTCATAACTATTATTTTATAATTTTTTATTTTAGTTTTTATATAACTATTTTTTATTATGATCTTTGTATCTAATATATGTGTCTATTTTCATCTTTGTATGACTTTTCAAAATTATTGTTGGATATAAAGGAAAAAAATTTAAAATAACTTTTTACTATTCTTTCCTAAAAACTTATTATTATTTTGGTGTCCAAGGTTTATTTATTTTTACCTATTTTAATTTTTTAAGAAGTCTTATCTAGTCTAAACATTTATCATATAATAAGATATTTTAAATAAGTAAAAAATATATCTAAAAGTATAAACCTATTGTAAACCAGCAAACTTACCTTTTTAAATAAATCAATAAATATATAATCTTAAAGTATTATAATAAAATTTAATACATGAAGCGAAGTAAAAACAACAATAATAAACAAACTTATCAATCTTAAAAGAATTTTTTAATAAATGAAAGTAAATTATTTATGAAACTAATAAATGAAAGTTTATTACTTGGAAAGTAAATCATTTTAAGATTAAAATTAATCAAAAATTATATGTAGATTACACTTTTTTTATTATAGTAATTTTTTATTTATATATTTTTTAATTTTATTTAAAATTTTAGAGATTGAAATTGTTATTTAATTTTGTTTTATTACTTTATATAAATTTTTATATTTTTGATAAATATATATTCTTATATTTATAAAAAAATTAATTTTTATTTTTTAACTTTAAAATTTACTTTTCAGGGATCATCTCCTAAATTATAGTTATTAAATATATATTGATTGTTAACATATGAGTTAAAAGTTTTTTTTACACTATACAATTAATTTAAAATAAATTATATTTCAAAATTATTTAATTTTATTTAATTATTATCATTTTGATATATATTATTTATAATAATAGATTTAAGTGAAAATATTTTTTTTAAATATTATAATTTAAAATAATTTCATTATATATATAATTATTTAAAATATATAAAATCTTGTTATTTAATTATTAAATTATATATATTTATTATAAAATAAAACACACGGGCATTTAATATATAATTTTGTCTCGAGTTAATCCTAATGTGATTGAGGTAATGTACTATCCTCCTGTAAGAATTTGATCTATTTCCACTTCCTAACAAGGATACACCTTTTTCGCTTGTAAGGAGTTTTGTTAAAAGTGTTAATATTTTATAAAGTAAATATTATATTCTTTTATATATATATATATATATATAATCTTTTTACATTAAAAAATTTTAAAAAATTTATACTATAAATTTTTATTTAATTTATATTTAATAGTAAGTAAAATAATAAATTATAATTAATTAGATGTAAGTTAAATAAAAGATTCAAATCGAATATAAAAATTTTTAGATTTATATTAGTATGAAAAAATTTTAGATTTTTATATATATATATATATTATGTTAAAAATAAATTATAATTAATTTT